ATGAAGGCTTGTTTCACAAAGGCTTGTAGGGTTTCACAGTGACATTCTTCCCACTACCCTGAATTAGCAGGTGTATTTATTACCTGGCAGCTGTGGGCTGGGAGAAAACCCCCATACTGAAGTCATCTTTAATACAGAGCCAGATTAACATAAAACATGAAAAACAACTATTACAAGCTCAGTGCAGGCAACCAGCTGTGAAGTCTGTAGGAACAAATGTAATTTCTGTAGCTTGTTACTAATTGCTTATAATACCTTCACACGCCCCTTCCCCTGTGAATTGTCCAGCAGACTCTCAGCTATATTCTCATCCTTCTAATACAGGCAGTATTTTGGAGTACCACATTTTGGGAAGAGAAAAGGCCTTGAAATTCATGTTGTCTTTCACTAGTCAATAGCTATTCGACCCTATAAAAGACCATTTTTAGCACTGCCTTTCACTCACTGTAACTGAAATTGCAAATCCTACACACTTACAGGACAATTCACAGCATCAAGTCTAATTTGTACCTTTTGCAAAGGAAAACTTTTACCTACTCCAATGCTCGGAATCAGATTTCATTTCTCACCCATTTAAATGAAGGGAAATTGAGTTTTGTCCATTCAAAAGACACAGTTAAAGACTGGTATCTGAAAAATAGGAAACTATGCAGTGAGATCTCCCACTGCTGCCCTCTACTACAGCTCTTTCATTCATCCAGGTTTTTCTACAGCATTGCACCAGAGACTACATTAGTAAGAACAAAGGAAAAAAAACTTCAACTCAATGCAGGATCATGATCCTGGACCTAGAGAACAGAGCTTGCCTTGCACAGCAATTCCTCTGCAGATGCCCATGGGAGACTATCCTAGAGAAGAACTCCCAGAAGAGCTGGAGGATGTTCAAGAACCATCTCTTTCAGGTTTAAGAATGGTCTATGGCCACAACAGAAAAGCAAGCAAAGGTGGCAGAGAGCATGGAAGCACAAACCAGGAGCTCCTGAGTAGACATGAAAAAGCAGCATACAAGAGATGGAAGCAAGAGCAGGCAACCTGGGGAGATGCACCATCCAAGAATGCACAGGAGGGGTTAGGAAAGACAAAGCCCAAATGAAGTGGAATATGGCAAGAAGGTAAAAGGCAATGGAAAAAAAAAAGATTTAGCAGCAAGATCATCAGCAACAGGAAGACTAGGGAAAAGTAACACACCACAGCTGAGTGGGGCAGAGGAACTGCTGACAGGGGACACAGAAAAGGCCAAGGTACTCACTGCCACCTTTGCTCCTGTTGTTACCAGCAAGAACAGCCCCCAGAGCTACCCTGGACACAATGCAGATAATGGCTGTGCATCAAACCACTGTTAATATTCACACCACCAAAACTACCACTACTGCCCAAGCAGTGCTGCTTAAGTGACAGGATCACCATCTACTTCTGCCAATTTGCAACTTATCTGCTTGAACTGGCCTTTCCCCCATCAACATTTCTCAGCCATGGTGTCCTTCCTGACAGGGCTGCATTTGCAGACCCTACGTTTTAAAAAATGGGTCTTCAGCATCAACCTTACTATGACTTTTGGATGTGTACAATGAAAACTGAACAAATATGTTGCTATGTAACGTGTATTTCAACAAAGTCTGTAAAGAGGCAAAAATTTTTTGCTGTACAAAGTATTTACAAAAGCATACAACTTCAAAAAAACCCCAAGTTTATTTTATGCCAAAATTATTAAACACTAAAAAGACAATTTTGTAGCCTATACATTAGGAATGTAAGTTTTCATGTACAATCAAGAAAACACTTCACTGCAAAAAAGGTGAAAAACTGTTTCTAAAACAGTGTCACAAAATGAACTGAAGAATGAAAGTGTGGCAGTTGCTTAAATTCAGGTTCTCATGTGAAGACAGGCATTTATAGACTGATGCAGGGAATATTAAATGTGCACATCTAGTCTTAGAAGTAGAATTATACAAATACAAAAGGCAATATATTATACATCTATATACAGCACTGTAAGCCTCAAACACCAACAAAAGGTATTGGACAATTACGTTAGAAATTTCTAGAATTTCTCATAGGAAACCTCCTTAGAGAGAAGTGTGGCTAAAATAGCTCTATTTCTGTACCTTTCAAATTTGTTAGGTAATCAAGGCAATTCAAGACATTTAAATCCATTCAGAAAAGTCATTGCAGCTCTACAGCAAGTGGTTAGAGGCCATACACTTTTTGCACAAATGTTACATATTCTCACAACAAAAATAATTCTTCTCAGCTTCAATGAGTTTTGCAAGTGTTGCTGTTCAAAGCCACCCTTGGAAACAGTGCCCTCTGATTTGGAACAGTAAGGTCAGTTATAAACGTCAGCATTGAAACAACTTCTCTTTTTACAATGTGAGATGATTCACTCCTACATAACATTTTCCCTGCAGAATGGTGCAGCTGTGTATGTTTGGAAGGTATTCATCAGAACTACCCACTCCCAGGCAGACTGTAATATGTGGTGTCTTAATAGGTTTCCTTTACACTGTGAGAAGACATCTACTTCTATAACAAAGACTTTCCATTTGACAGTCTGAAGTGATTGGATAATGCTCAAACCCCCAGAGGCTGAGAATTTTAGAAATATCTGCTTCCTTCCCTACTTCCCCCATCGTTCTTCCCATCCCTCTCCTAATCCTGCACCATGGATATGTGGACAACAAATAATTTTGACCTCACTCTCTCTTGTTGTGCCTTTTTTTTTAACTTTTCAATTTTTAAGAAAAGAAAGAAGCACAACTCAAAGTTTTGTTACTTAGGAAAGAAATTCTTTAGACTCAAGCAGTATGAAGCTGTGATATCAGCTCACAAAAACATACTCATCACTGGGTAAGTTACTCCAGAGACCAATACAAACGTGTTCATATGAAGCCACATATGCATGAACAGAACAATCTTTAGTACCAAGAACCTTTCATCATTTTCTCAAAAAAGCATGAAGATTTATGTTATTTCACTTGTACCAATATGAGCCTATGTCTTGGGTTCAAGCCAGACCAGCTGGATAAAATAAAAGGATAAACTAACTACATTTCAACACCATTTGGCTTGTGGCCAAGAGTACTGGAAACATTATGTTACATATCTACACTTCATGGCATTTTGGATCCTAATTTGAAATCCTAATTATTTAGAGCAAAATCTTGCCAATATAATAAACATCTTTTATACCAACACCCAGCTTGAAAGAGTGCCTACCATGAAGGTAACAAACAATTATGAATTAAATGAAACAAAGCAAAACCAGCAGAAATTCTCAGAAATTCTATCCCCTCAACACTACCTCGCAACTAATACCATAATAACAAATATTTGGCAACTGCAATTTTATTTATCTATTCTAATTTTATGTCAATTTAAATTACTGCAAATTTTTTCTAATGTGCTCTTTAGATCCTACACTGCAAAAGCAGATGAGGAAACTGCTGTTAAGTTCTGCAGGTTATTCCTTTGCAGCATCTAGATCAAATTTCAAGGGAAGGAAGAGCTCTACAGCCAGTGTGTGTAGAGACAGCCAATGCCTACTATCAGCTGCCTAACACCCTGCTGTTGCTCGTGGTTATGTCCAGCAGCCAGATGCATTAGTCAATGTGAAACAAATGTCCTTTCTAATGTGTATTGCAGAAAAACCTATAAAAAAGAGGCCAAATTTTCTGCTGTAGAAAGTATTTACAAAAACAACCTCAAAGAACCAGTTTTTCTCACTGGTAAAATTTTCAAAAACTAAACAGGGTAACATCTGTAGCTCATCCATTAAGAATATGTTTCCATGTAAAATTAGGAAAATACTTCACTGGAAAAAGGTGAAGTACTGCATTACTAGAATAGAACGTCACACAACAAAATGAACAATGAGAAATTGTGGCATATTCCTTTAAATTCAGGCTCTTGGGTAAATACAAACACCTCCAGACTGATGGGGTTGTTCTGCATACTTCAGTGAATTTTTAGGAATGTACACATCCAGTCTGTGGTCTTATTAGTACAATTATACAACTTACTTAATCTTTTCATTAATTAACCAGCTTATTAATTGCTATAGACCTGAGTAACATTAGCTGTTTAAAAGTTACTTGTGCTTCAGTTTAAGTCAAAAGTATCTAAACTTATCTCCAAGAAAACGGGGAAGTCTACTGGAATTTTAGTGTTTGTTTTTTTACCATGTTCTTGACAATAGTGGATTAACAGCTGCAGAAATCTGGACAGTTGGAAGCAACTATGCCTTAGATCTTCATCCTACTTCTACACTCATAATAATACATTGTCTGTTCAGCAGCTAATAATTGCTACTGGAGTGGTTTTGTCAGCAACTGCTTCTTCAGATTTCTGCATAGGAAGTTTTAATGTCCATTTTAAATTAAAACCTTAACATTATAAAAGCTGTTGTCAAATTCACTGAAGATTAAAGGTCAGGTAAAACCTTGTACAGGTTGCTGGTTTAGAATTTCAAACTAGAAAAATAATAGATATAAAAAACCCTAGGAATTACAGTGCTAGTTATATTTACATAATAGTTTCCCTTTGTGCTTGCAAGTTACTGAAAGTACACATCCTTTGGTAGTATTCTCTTACTCTCAAGCATGAAATTCATGTTAAGCACATTCACACTCCTGATTTGCTTGAGTCAGTGCAAAGGGCTCATATTTCCACATAACATTGGTACACAAGCACCTCTTCCCTACAGACAATAAAAATAGTGATGACCGACTTTTCAGTGAATAGTTTTGCAACTGATATTTAAGAATCCTGAAGAAACAGTCTGTCACATAATTTTTATGTCAAAAGAGTGACTACTAGCAATTGATAATAACTCCCAGCCACAAGCAATGCTGCTGTATTTAGGCCCAGTTTTAAAGACATACAGGTAAACCAAAATGCATCTAAAATTGGACTTACACAGGCATAACAAAGTATGAACATTGCTACGTGTACTAACTACCAATACAAAAGCCACCAGAACATCAAACACTGAAGTGATGTAAGACAATGTTTGTTCTTACAATGCTCTTCCAAAATTGCATAACAATACTGCAAGACTAAAAAAACCCTAAGTACTTGCAGTTTTGCCTATGCCAACTGGAAGACAAAAAGTAGAATCTGGGAGAGACACTCTCCTTGTTCCCACATTGTACATCTGTAAGAAGCCACACACTTTGGTCAGTGGCAACCAACCAATTAACACTTGTTCAGCTGGTGAAGGTATAAACTTTTCATGAAGCTGTAAAGCTAACAGAAGTTGACTCAAAATAATTTCAACTGTTGTCTATCCACTATTACTGTCAAGCATGTGCCAAGTAAGAATTTACGGGTTTGAGACTCAAGGAAGTAATGTATGGCATATTAAGAGCTTAACGTACCAGTATCAGGATAAAGTCTCAGTAATCTATTTTTTATACTGGCCAATTTAATATCAATCTGTTGACAGAGTTATGCTAATACTAGGAGGCCGCTGCTGATTAGGATGTTTGCTTATAATAGGAAGATCTGTTCTTTCTGTTCCATATATTAATTTTTCCTCCTGAAGACTGCAAGCTGAAAACCTGTTTGCCTCTGTACCAGAGACGCCACCACGATTATTTGGAACTGGGACACCGCTGACCTGTTCAAAGGATTTACTAAACACAGTAGTGGTCGTTCTGGCCAGGCTATGGCTGCCAGGCTTAGGCAGGGACTGGCTGGTTGTCAGTGTCAGTCTCTTCAGAGAGACAAGCTCTAGATTCTCACTCATGGCTCTCTGAGTTTGTTTCCGTGATAAATGCTCTCTGCAGGTTTCCCCTTCTTTTTCTTTCCCTCCAGGTTTGCTTCCTCCAGACCTTCGTTGGCTCTTCCCTAAGAGGTTCTTGCTGCTCGTGATGCTGCTGTTAGACAGGGCAGACTGACTTGTACCAGAAGTAGCCCTAGAGTAAAACCCTTCATCGGTTTCAGATACTTCTATCAGTTCTTCTTCAATTGCTAAATCAGAATTATCTGCATGGTAGAAACAGAAATAAAAAATTAGCAACTGTCTCACATTCATTGATTTTACATATTGTTCAATTTTTATATTTTTAAGCATGAAGCCATCAAGCAGTAGAACAGAAGAAAAGAAGACAACGCTTACCTATTCCATGACATTCTGGGATTAAGGTTCATTAGGAAATAGTCACAGCAAGTAATGCTGCATTAACTACATCAAAAAGCATGCCCCCAATCTCATTTTGTTGTGATTTTGAAGGAAAAAAATGCAGTCACGTTAATTCATGCAGGAAATTAGAAACTTGGATATTAGAAAGTACCATACAGAACAAAAAAAAGTGTAAATCTTATTTTGAGCAAGTGATCCACTACAGGATTTGGCAAGGCTTGTTAATTACAAAGGTATGTGATCAATGCCCCAGGACACCCAATATGGCACCTGCATGTTTAGCAACCCAAGAATGCTTTAAGACTGAAAGGTCACTTTCTGCATCATAGGTCTGGTGGTAAGAGTTGGAAACTCAAGCACAACAGGAGATCATAATGAAACGTAAAATTTGGGAAATCTGAGTTATGTAGCAAGATACTTTTAGCATCCATTTTAATGGATTTTTCATACCATTGATCACCGGATTTTGCGAACTCACAAATATGCTTAATAAACCCAAAGGTATGTTGAGTCTCAGTGTATTTTCTCCAGATTAAATACATCTACTTGTAAGTATGTCATCATTGTCTGTGGCACAGACAAAGCTGTGTGCAATACATGCAACTGTGTTATTACACATGCAAATATATTAACTGTATACTTTAATTCTTGAAACATGCAGCAGTGACCCTTTCAATCAACAGCGGTACCTTAGAGTGCAGCTACAAGTGCTCTGCTAAAACTGTACTCTGCCAGATGAGTTTATTCCATCCTCCATCATTTTTCTTACAGATTTTTGCCTCCTGATTTCTGGCATGCCTTTGCTGTCAGCTCTAGGATCTGTAGCTGTTTCCTGTACTCCCTGTAAATGCTGAACATCATTCTCTGCTAGAGCTCTGCTCTTTTCCCCATTCCCGGTCCTCTCTCCAGCCACACTTGTGACACTAATCTCAGGTATGATAAAGTTGCCCAATTCAGTAGCATCATTACCACTCTCTGGTTGTTCTAGAATTAAAGATGGATAAGAAAAAAAAAAAAACAAAAAATGTCTGAAACAAAACATGAAACAAAAGCCAACAGATACAGATGACTTAAGCATTATAAATTAAAGCAGATGTACACATATTAACCTCTTGTTAATTAGCAACATAGCAAGTATGGAATTTTGCTTTATTTCTAAAATGGCAGTCTTCAATTTTCCAGTTACTGGCCTGCACCATATACTGGAAAGGCCCACAGTTGATCTTTCAAAACTGAAAATTCTGAGGGTCATGAAACAGATTATCAGAAGCCAAAGAACAGTTCATAATTCCCTTTTATGACTATGCTCTCTGTATCACGATGCTAGAGTGAAACTTACTTTTACAATGAGATGGCATATCAACTTCATATATTATCATTAAGGACTAGAAATTCTACACATACGACGTCATGATGCAACACCTTGGTCAGTTTGAAAACTAAGTAAAACTACTAAGCCAACTCAAGCACACTTTGATTTCCATTTTCTTCCTTCATTTCAAAAACTGTTTTCAACCAGAAAGATATTTCTGGATACCCCAGAAAAACTAGTGGAGAAGAGCACTGTGGCACAGAAACTTGACAAGACTAAAAATGCACTCAAAGCACAGTTCAAAATAAAGCTCAAGAGCTCAGAATAAAGCTCAAATGAGTCTAACTTTTATTCATAATCCTCTGTTCTGAAAGAGCTGTGTTACATAAGGACCACCCAGAACTATACTGCCAGTCTGCTGCTGCACATGACAGAAGCTGGCAGCACATTGAACTGACAGTGTGAAGTCCAAAACCAGAGGAATTTGCAATGAGATGATTTTTCACAGTGGCAGCTCTAATGCTCTTTAACTCAAGGGGATGCCCTCTTCCTCCTGTCCCCTCACTGAACACTCTTGTGTAGGCACAGTGTACTTCTACGTGGCTCCAGCTCTGGGCTTTTCACTACCATTTGTGCTGTCTGCACTGATCACAACTGAGCCAGAAGGTTATTCTGACAGGGATGGACATCAGTGTCCCCTGGTGTAAGAGCTATCCCTTGTTTTACCTGAAAATTCTAATCATCTTAAGTCTTTCTAACTAATCAATGAGCAATCAAAGTATCTATTTAACAAGCTGCAGCATCCAAAGGAATTGGCATTAATAACTGATGCTATTCCTCATTAAATTCCTAATATTTGGGAGGAAACTCAAAATAGAACCATTGACTTCTAGCAACACTTTCTGCAAAAGTCTTCTCTTTACAGTAGCAAAGGTGACATAGAGCACCATGAACTGCAATAGTAATAACAATAAATAAGCAATTGTGATAATGATACCACATCAAATACAGCCTTTTTTTTCTAAAAACACAGGAGCAGAAAGGTTAGTGAGAAGACCAATGCTCTGATTTGCCTCAGTGCTCTAACTTCACTGGACTGAGGAACTTGTGCCTCTCCAATGGAATCTCTGAAACTCCTTCCTGCTGGCCCAGAGAGACAAGAGAACAGAACAGAGCTTAACTGTGAGAAAAGCACTAATTATCCAACTCCAAAGAAAGAAGACTCAAAGTACACAGAAGAAAAACAGAGAAAGGGGTTTTTTTTTGTACAAGATTCTGTATAAAAGCAATACCCCGTTATTGTTATTTGGTGGTGTGCATTACTAAATGTAACATCCAGCTGTGATATCAGCACTTTATCCAATATTGCTGCATTCCCACAGCTAAGTAACCATTACTACAAAGGAAATATACCTTTCTCTGAACTTAACTGACTACAGAAATAAACTAATGGAAAAATGGGATATTGGGTATCTCAACTGCCATTAACACTGTCTACCATAGCATCTACAGTCTTGGGGCAGGGATAAAACTACACAATCCACGCCCTTCAGAGCAGCATACCCTCCTTATTTACAACTTCTAAGGACATCCAAACTTTCAGCTTCACAGTGCTTGATGGTGAAGGTAATACTGCTTTCAAGCTGGACAGCTCTGGGGGTCTAGCCTTTGAGAGAGAGCTATTAATACCCAGTGCACAAGGTAATGCAACAAAAGAGAAAACCAAAGTCAATGCTGAAGAGTGTAGAGATGAAAATGAATAATTATGTGACTGTGATTGTTAATATAGATACACCCACAGCAGTTGAAGGAAAATGTATTTGGTGTCACATTTCTGAATGCTTTGAGTAGTACAACCAACCTTGATAAATGCATTTCATGTTTAGTAACTGCTAAAACTTAATTCAAAATCATAGTCCACGTTATTACAGTTGCCCAGATTATTTACCTCAGACTGCACAGGCAAACTGCCATTCAGATTGTAATTCAATTTTAACCCCCACAAGCTCAAGCTGCCTGTTCTGCATAACTGTGTTAGCATATTTAATTAGTCATAAAAGCAAGATTAGCATTAATTTCAGATTCTTGCAAGTTACAATTATTTCAGTAAATACTGGAAAAAACTGTTAAAAAAACCCCATTCTCTCTAAAAAAAATTCTCTCCACAGAGAGAATTCAAAGACTAGTTCTAAACCTTGTGTACTATATAAAAGTAAATTTCTGCAGTGAAGAAAAGAGTAACTTCTTGTCCTTCTTTGCTAGTTGATATCTTTGTTCTTGTGTTATGCATCTTACCAATATCTGGTCAGCTCTTCTCAGTCTGTTACATCAGAGTATTTGTCTTACAAACACCTCTAGACACAAGAGCTCTCCAATCCAATAGCACTAAATAATTTGTTGCTAAGTAGTAGCTAGTATCAGCTCACTCCATAAACACTACCCATTTGTGATTAGATGGATCCATTTTGCCAATCACCCTCACTTTTAGTACCTCTAAAGTACCTATCTGTGAAGTCCAAAGTCACATTAACTAATCGAGTTTAAAAAGTCCTTCTAAGTAACTGCTCCTAATGAACAAATTAGAGGGTTAAGTATCACAAGAAGATTCAATGTTAAGTCAACCTTTAATCAAAACTGACTTCAATCTAGAATTCTAGCAAAGGCTAGCAAGACCTAATGTCTGAAAACTTTTATAGTAAAATTAATTTTTTAAAACATAAAGAAAATAAAGCCCATGCTTCTCAGCTGGAAATGAGATTCACTGGGGTTATTCTATTTTATTTTACACACATAATTAGTAACTGAAAATTGCTGCCCTTGCTTCTCCAAAAGATAATTTGCTTCATCAGTTCTAGTCCACATAATGTGTAACACCAAATACCTTTCAACTGTCTCCTCTGACTTCCAAATCCATTTAAACTAATTTTTATTATGAAAATAAAAAAAGTCCCCCAAATATATTTTTCCTCTTACACTGTGTGAGAGAGAGAATACTGGTCAAGAGGTATGAGGTTTGTCATCTAATTTCTTCCAATTCCAGTATTCATTTTAATTTGAACTAGCATGTGTAAGCACAAGCTTTGTTATTCTTCCTGCATGCCAATCCTGAAGATGTATTTCACATCTATCTTTCTTTCCTCAGGAATTGTGTGGCACTGAATTAGGCTAGCTGGAATTTTGGAAACAGGAGACCATCGACTCTGACTTAAAAAAAAGCTGTCCAAGTCACAAACTAGAGTTTTGTTAGGATTTTATAATGCGAATTTTGAGGAGATTAGTCAAAGTGATTTATGCATGGAATATTTACCATTTAAAACAACACAACTGACAGTCACTTAGCTAGATACCACAGATTCAGCTTTGGACTCTAAATTAGCCTAATGTTTGCATAGCCTTCAAATTTACAATTACTCCTACAACCTGCCACATATTCAACTCCAACCCACCTTACACCAAGTGATTTTCTTCCTCTTAATTAAATCCTGTACTGTTAAGACAAATCGACCATTTTCACAGAAACCCAAACAAAATGTTAGCATGAGCTGTTTTGAAAAAGTCAATCTTTCAGTCTTCATCCCTGAACACTGACGATCCACTCCTTGCTTGGATTGCACTTACTAGATTATTGCTGTTTCTTTCAACTTGTCCTACTTTATAAGACTCTCATAAAACATAGCATTCTATTCCACTTCTGAGTTCAACTGGTATTCTCATTTCACTTTCACCTTACTGTCATCTGCTGCAGGGGACACTTGTCCCACACGTTTTTCCTTGAACTTCACCAAGCCACACTCTCTGCAAGGAGGCAATAACTGTAGAAAATCCTCTATTTCTGCATTTGCTGAAAATTTTGCATTCTTATAAAGATGTATCCAATAATTATTTTGTACCATTTTGGTCTCCTGTAAACACAAAGGGAATGTTTATTTTAATATACTTTCAATTTCTCTGGATGACCTAGCACTTAGTATCCTTGATCTGTGTCACTCTCCACCATCTCATTTGAACAAGAATCAAAACCACTCAAAACTAATAGATAACAAAACTGCCAAACTTCAGAGGGCATTTGTCCATTTAAAAGCTAAGATATCATACCATTTTCTTGTATCTGGTCAATAATCCATGCTTAGTAACTTTAAGGCTGAAGAAAGAAAATAAAAATGGTCTTTAGCAGCCTTGAGATGTCAGTAACGACTGGCTACTCCATCTCACTAAAGACACTAATGTTCTGCTCCTCAGGTTTGTCTGACAGTTTTAAGTAGTTTTTAATCAATTGAAATGAAATTTGGTTATTTTACCTTTCTTCTCTGTCCTTCACCCCCGTTGGCAGCTGACCATTGATACAACTACCATAAGTGTGTTCTACCACCAAGTGTTTCTCAACACTTACCTGAATCACCTCTTGGCCAATTTATGATGAGTAACTCAGCAAAATTTTTCTAACTGAACTGTCCCTATACTACAAAAGCTCAATTAGTACACATCATACTGAAACTTTAATGGTAGTACAAAATCTTCAGTGACCCTATTAGAAAAGGACTCTTATCTACATTCATGCTCTTAGCCTGTTACTAGGATTACAATCCTAATAGAACAACTGCCAATTCTGATTGCTGCTCCAGTGGCTCTTCCCCATCTAAAAGTGGCAAAGGTGGAGAAATACAACATTTAGACTCACAGAATCTCTTGCTGGTACTGCTACTTCTGCAGTACATTTGGCACCATTTTTTCCTACTTTTCAGCCCAGACTTGTGATCTGCTTTGTGGAAGCCCTCATATAAGTTTGCCCAAATATACAGCTTTAGCTGGAGCAGAGACAATTTTCTTCACGGTAGCTGTTATGGGGCTGTGTTTTGGATTTGGGGTGGAAATGGTGTTGACATTTTGTTGATACAGGGGTATTTTTGTTGCTGCTGAGCAGTGCTTGCACAGATCCAAGGCCTTTTCTGCGCCTCACCCCTCTCCACTAGCAAGCAGGGTGGGGTGCACAAAAAGCTGGGAGGGGACACAGCTGGGACAGCTGCCCCCAAGTGACCCAAGGGGTACCCCAGACCATGTAACATCATACTCAGTATACAAAGCTGGGAGAAGTAGAAGGAAGAGGGGGGGGGGATATTTGGTGTTTGTCCTCCCAAGTAACTGTTAGGTGTGATGGAGCTCTGCTTTTCTGGGCATGGCTGAACTCCTGCCTGCCCATGGGAAATGGTGAATGAATTCCCTGTTTTGTTTTGCTTGCAGGCATAGCTTTTGCTTTATCTCATTAACTGGCTTTATTTCAACAAGATTTCTCAGTTTTACTCTTCCAGTTCTCTCCTCATCCCACTGTGGGGAGTGCGTAAGCATCTGTATGGGGCTTACTTGTTGTGTGGGCTTTAATCACAACACCAAAACATAGTATTTTATCCCTTTATCCTTAAATCCAATTTTTATTTAAGTACTTTAAGACAGATTAGGTTCTGTGGATAAGTTATTAAATATTTACTGTGCTTCAGGTACTAGAAACTAGTTTTCAGGAGAAAGCAGGAACATTGTTTCCTAAGGGAGCGGTAATTGTCTACACCTCCCTTTAACAAAAAAGGGCTTGGGTGTGCTGGGTTTTTTTTAAAACATGGTTAAGGAAAATACAGAATGTACTTTATCTGAATTGTGTTGATTCCCATTCACCAGTCAAGAAAATAAAAACCTCCAAATTGCTCCACGACTATAAGCAATTAATATGTGAAATAATAAAATTCTCAATATTATTTTAAAAACATGGGAAAAGCTAAGAATTCATTGCAAAATGTGTTTCTTACCATGCCTTTTCCATCTATGCCCTCTTATAGACATGCTAGTCACAGCATTTCTTGATATTCTGGATGAAGTAGGGGTAATTTCAACCTGAATGCATCTTGCACCTTCTTTACTAGATTTCATGGCACCCTGAGGCAGTGAAGCTTTTATTGCATTAGCAACCTAGAAGAGAAGAGATGCACTTAAGTTCTTATCACAAAGGTCCAAATTTTAGAAGAATTCTGTTGGGGGTTATTACTATTTCAAGAAGAATACTGTGTACAATTCCAATTTATGGTCAAAAAGCACACCACCCTTTGCATGCTCTATAAAGAATGCTGGCTGCAATTAGCTCTCAGAACTTACACTTGCCACTTTGTTAAAACAAAGCTTCTAGTTTCAAGATGTGGCTATTTCTTCAGAGTTCTGCTGCACTATTATCTTGGTTCTGAAGACTTAGAAGTGCTCTGCTGAGAACAGCTTGGTCACAAGGCAAAAACATGACACCACGACTAAGTACAGTGAAAAGCCCTGTGCAGTGTGTGCACTTACAGATGGAGCTGCTTGCACAAGCACACACACAGATTTAGGCTCCTGGTATCATCCTGTATCATGCATGCTCAGAGCAAGGATTTCCCAGGCTAAAAATTATACTCAACAAGCTGTTGAAATAAAATACCTACCAGCAGAGGCTCTGGATACAGTTCAAGCTGTGCTCTGTACAAAACGTCATCCATAGCTTTACGAGCCAGATCCCATTCCCCATTATAACTGCAAAGGTAAAATTATATGTAATAATAAGCATCTATGTCAACAGATGAACCTTTTTGGTCACATAACCTTCACAGCCCTGGTGTTTCTTGAGAGTTCAGTTTAGAGGATTGGAACTACTTGTGTTTTTTAGCAGTAAGCCTGCTGATTAGACAACTTGGAAGCAGCATCTATGGAGACAAAGTTTTATTTTCATTGGCCACCGCAAGCAGTTTAAAAATTGTTTCATTAGCTGTTGATCAGCTAATCATGAAATATTCTGAAATATAAATGGGATGTTTTACTATTACCCCACCTTTTGAGTATTCCTGTATTAGTAGTCTCCAATTATTTCAGTTACTAAGCTTCACACATTAACATGACTACCAAAGGGTAGATGACATCAGCATTTCAGAGAAAAAATGTAACCTTTTTCCCTAACTAGACTGATGTCAAAACTAACCATGCAAAAATGTGGATGGCAGACAATGGCTGGAAAAGGCTTTTCACAGTATTTTCTTCCCATCAGCAGTTACACCTATCAAGTGCTGCTCCAGCCATCTTCCCCAAGTACAACACAGGTAACTTCATCCAACCCAAGGACATTATTGCTAGACACAACATCTGCCCAGCAGAAAAAGAAATGCCTCCACGGTAGCATGTCTGAACAAGTACACAAATTAGGCTGGCACTTCCCTGTTTCGTTTGCATATTAGAAAAAAAACAACTTACAAGGCATAATAGATCCCTGTGAGCATTTGCACCATGAATTCAGATGAAACTGGAATCCTACTGTTGACTCCCTTGTACTTTCTCACTTGTTGGCGAGGATATCCACACACACAAATTCTAAAGAAATCATACATTTGTCATTAATAAATAATGTGAAAACACCTTTGTAGTTTAGATAATTTCAATACTTCACCAATACTGATCAGTTTTTAGAAGCCCTGAGTTACTTCTTCTAAAAATGCAAGAATGACATACAAGACAACATTCTTAGGAAGAGAAATTTAATAACTGCCCAGTTGCAAAATATCTGGATTTACAACTTGAGATCAGCACAAAATATTTTGTTCTGTAATTCTCACATTTACAATTCATGTTTGCAATTTAAAAAAGCAAGAAAAATTGAGTTAGACTTACTAGAAGAAAACCCCCTAAATTCCACAGTGCTCAAACCAATTAAAGGAGTTATTCTATATATCCAAACAGCAGAATATAGATTTCACCACATCTAAACAAGACACCAAAAGATTTTTGGGGCTTCTGACACATATTCCCCATACTCTAACATGCTGTCTATTCTAAAATGCTGTCAAGGTAAGATTTTCAGTAAGCAGATAAACACGAAAGACAAAACCAGTCAGGAATGAAGAACAATTAAAGAAGTTAAATTGTATAGCATTAAATAATTCAGTATCAAGACATTCAACATTTTGAAGTAGGAAGACTTGCTTGCATCTACTGGTAACCTGCTTGGGATTTTTTTGGATGCTTTAAAAATTATTTATTCCAAATACAATCAAAACCTAATTAAGCAGAATAAGCAACATCAGTCTCCTTTCCACAATCCTTAGCTTCTAAGTATTTTTACCTCATATGTTAGAGCAATTTATCTAACAAAGATCTTGTAATTACTCTTGTAAATATTGCCAAGTGCTCCAAACTCCAAAGTCTCCTGTCTCCTTTGAAGAAAAGGAAATCTTAGAGGCATCTATTATCATGCTTTAGTTGTGAGAGAAGCCTAAGAACTATCCTAGAAAAAAGTTCCTGCAGTTGACTTCTCAGTCTCTTGGGTTTCCTGAGTTAAGGAGAGCACTCTAATTTTTCCCTTAACGTACACTACACTTTGGAAAATCCAGAGAAAAACATGTTTACTACCTATTCCTCTTCTTTAAAAAAAGATATTGATAAAAAAAAAGTCACTGTAATTAAAGCTGAGGTAGGCTTTTTTTTGTTTGTTTTGAGGTCAGGAGGGGTGTGTTGGCATTGTTATTTCGGTTTTTTGAAGCAACAGCTGATTTTGGAAATGCTCAATGCATCCATAAAAATGGATGTATTTCTTGTTTCAACGCCTGCTATAGTTACAAGAAAGTTTCAACCTGCACAGCATCTGAATTTATTTAACAAACCTACAATGCAAAACATACCACATTTTTAAAAGACACTTCTGGTTTTCTTTAGTTAACACAACCACAACTACTGTTAATAAAAACAAACAATTCCCTTTGACTTCCCCTCTTACAGGAGAAGCTTAGCCTGCAGGCTATTGTTCCCCATTTTGAGATCTCAACCCGAAGTTATATAAGAGATACTTTAAAAGCAAATAATGCAGCTGTAAACATCTATGAGAAGAAGTCAAATTTAAAAGAGGCCTTTGGGAACTCAAAGCTTGTTTTTATAAAAAAAAGTCCAAACTGACTGCATTTCAAGCTGGAAATGCCATTCTAAGAGTAAACAACCTGCAGAAATTACCTTGAACAAATTTGACACAATGACTGAAGAGACATTGGAGGCATGTAGCTTAAGGCAGCATTGTAACAGAGCAGAAGGAAAGTCAGCACTTCAAACCTGGGATTTGAAAAAAACATTAGAATTCCATTACCAACGTTATTTTTTAAAAGAAAACAAGTTTACAGGGAAATTTTTAAGAGTTATTTGAACAGATCGGTCATTGTATTTCAATACTACTGACAACTGAGTAAGCTTTTCCTCTACATGTAGTAACCTGCCTTGCTGATCTTTCTGCATCTACATTTACATGTGTTTAAAAACAAAAAAGCACATGACCGAACACAACATACACCTGTCCTCCTTCAGTCTGCAACTATGTTAAAAATCAGAAGTTCAGATCCATTATGGACTTTCAAGCAAAATCCCATGATACGATTTCACCTGTTCTGGGCTGTCAGCATCTCCCTCTGAGGATGAGGTCCACTGTACACAACTCTGGACAAACCATGCTGTGACAAAGCTCCTTCAGTGAGAGCCATGGAGCCAATGCTGGAAGGCTAAAGGAAAAAAGGGTCATTAAGAGTATGCCCATCTCAAATCTTGCTATAATGCAAGTGAAAATAGACAGCAGTAAGCATCACCATATTTATACATAAATTTTCAACAGGCTTAATGTTATCTGACTGTTTAGATGTAATCTGTTCATTTTACACAAGATAAGATATATGGCTTCAGGAAAGAAAAAAAAGACAGTTGCTGCATGAGTACTATGCAATTATGACTATTCCACCTTGAAAAGGCCTCAGAGACCAGTTAGCAGTACTCAGAAATCTCAGAAGTATGCTTCTATGTCATCATACAACATATTAAAACTACTTTTCACTTTTGTTCTTAACAAACAGGCCTCCAAAGCATACTGCCCTTCTCAGTCAGGAATTTCACTTTGTAGGTGTCACTTACTTCATGATAGACGGAAGGTTTGGACAATGATGGAATTGTGAAACTCAGCACTTTGCTATGTCCTTCTTTGTCAACTATCTCCTGAAAAAGACAGAAGATATCAATGGTTACACTGTAATACAGAAAATAGACACGCTAAAATGTTAAAATACTATTTATTATAGGGATTGATAGGGATACTATAACAATCCAAGCTGCAAGCTAGAAATTATCTCTCTGTTTACTTTCTATCACAGTACATTTTGTTTGTTTATGAAAACTCTTCAAATACAAATAACTTAGCCAAGGGCACATCTATTTGCATACATAATCCACCTCAAAAACACTAACAGAAAACATCATGTTTACAACCGCATTATCTTTTTTTAATTACACACTATTTGCTAATTGTGAAGGTTAACGATCAACAATTCTCTTCTGAAAACTATTAACCATCAAGTAATCACTCTGCAAGTAATTTGTTTTGGAAATATTACAGCTGTGGAATGACTGCAGCCTCATATGGTTTGACAGCAGCAGACCATAGCATTTGCAAAAGCCCAAGTCTGGTAACTCTCTTCATGGAATTTAAAGAAGCATGGCTGCAAAGCTTTAGAGAAGCTACTTGCCTGAAAGATACCACCGCAGCAGTAGCTGGCAGACTTCTCACTTCTCTAATTTAACAGAAGACTAATGGTAAGGCAAAACAAGATGTGGTTTTGTACCACAGAAGAACACTGGAGTATTTCAAATAATAAACTTTTAAAGATCCAAAGCAGACTTGACCAAAACAAACACCACACACTAGATTTTACTTTTCTCCTCCTTAAATTTCAGCAGCTGACTTCATATATCCAGGAGTAATAATTAGAGAGAAGTTCCAGTGTCTCCTAGCACCCATGCATTGGAAGGCTGAAGGTCCAACTTCACATAGTAATTATTAAAACTCCAGCCTTAAAATAAAATATGAAGTGGTAAAGGAAGACTGAAAAGGATCAAAAGGGCATACAGAGCTCTTCCTTCTGAAAAGCTGCACAGCTCTACCACTCTCCATATAAACCATTGATACTTTAATTTCTAATATTGCTCCTGCATCAAAGAGGAAAACATGTTCCTCAATATATAGGAGAAACGAAAAGAAAATGGCTACATCCAAACTTCTAAATTCTAAAAATATTAATATTTATATTCTTCATTATAATCAGGTTTGTTATTAAGTTTCAGGAGTACATTTCAAGATCCAAAGTGTATTAAAAAAACCTTGAAAACTACAGCTAGGAAAGCAAAATATTTTAACTGCATGCACTACCACTGTATATCCCTAAGCTGAAGGTAGAACAAACTAGTTCATGATCTCAAGGTTCAGCCACAGTAATTCCACACCCCTCACAATGTAGCCAATTTAAAATTATTCCGAGGAATATTTTTCATTTTCCTTCAGCAAGAAACTGCAGGACTCCTACTGAACCTGTTACGTTTCTAAAAGTCCACTGTACATATTTACATAGGAATTAATATTTATATTAGGCTTTGTATTTCCTCTTGGTTTTAAAAACAAAGTAGTTGGTTAAAGAGAAAATAAGTATCTAAGCAGGTCACCTACTACCTTTTCAACCTGCATGCTAGAGAACAATACCATCTTGATTGTTTCAGTTATAAATTTTATGCAGCACCAACTGTGGGGAAGAAATCAGTGTGAGTACTGTGGCACTGTTTTACCATAAGCATTGTTATGTCTTAAAGCAAAATGGGGAAAGAAGTTCCCAAAAGTCATGCTGATCTACAGCTTCCTAGAAAAGCTTGCTGTGAAATTCTTATGACCCCAGGCAGCTGGAGATGGAAAGCCAAGTTACTAATTGAGGAAGAAACTGTTCACACCTAAGAGAGGATGTTACCAGACTGGTTTCAAGCCTAACTGTAAATGTACTCTCTTCTGGAAGAAAAACAAGTGATTACAGCCACATCCATGAACCATTTTAAATTGCTTCATCATGGATAATGAAGGAGTGAACTGCCTTAAGGCATAAGGTAAGACCAAGTGCTTTTCAGGAATGTTCTTCTTGTCAGAAGCATACAGAAGAGGCAGGAAGCCTGTTCTCTGCCTCAAGAGGAGCAGAACATAAGGGCTCAGGTCTTTTAAATTAGACTCCTGGGTGAAAAAGATATTTTCACTTGCTTGGTGAAGACACCTGTGATTATTTCGAGGAGATGGATAGCAGCTGCCTTCTCCAGATTTTCAGAATGAAGAGCCTTGAAGTTCATCACTATTTCACTTCACAAAAAGCTTTCCTAAAACAACCAGAACAAACTACACAGACAAGAAACCCAACAGACATAATAAAACACTAACTATTTTAAAATAGCCATAAAAAGACTAAAATATAGTCCTCTTAAGGGTTCTTTATTAATTCTGTTCTTCAACACATAGATTTAGCAACAAATAGAATATTTTCATAAAAAGGTTATTTCAAAATGGACACCTTTAATTTCTCAAAGCTAAGCTAGTTGTTCAGCAGTCAAGTGTTAGTTAAAAGTAATTTTTTTTATGGTTTTAGTCCAGATAGTCAAAATACTCCAGAAAATATGAGCAACAATTTCAAAAGCAGCACCTCAAAAACTTCTCACGCACAATGTGAATTTAATCACCATATCAAGAAATAAGTAATAAAAAAAATCAAGAACCACAGAAAGAGCTGAGGAAATACTGACCAAAGAATGCAAGTTCATGTTGGAGATTTTTGATGGACACCGATTTGAAGAGCTGAGACTGAAACAATCACATAATTTCAATTCTAAAACAAAATGTTGAAATACATACCAAGTTATAAACTCCTAGGAGAAGAGCCTCTATGCATCCACTGCTCTGCAAATCTCTGCTGGCTGAGACAGCAAGATAGCACCACATCAATTCTGGCAGGAACTGCAGTGTAAACCGTAGCAATTGCTCCTCTCCACTGCGATAAAACTCAAAGAGCTGATGGCAAACTGGCTCCAGAAGCTGAAATACAAGTTACAATCATGAATGAATAAAACATTACAAAAATCTGCAACTTTGTCGGGATCAATCCTTTAGCCAAAACTGTCAACTGATAAAAATTACATTTTAGTTATTAGGGCATGACTGATACAATAACTGCTCAAGTCACCTACACACTTTCATGCCTCTAACATACTTTTGGATGACAAAAGTAGAGCCATTCATCCTATGCGAATAGAAAAATTCCAATGGCTGCTTAGCCTCATTTTTGGCTCACTTCCTCTAGCCTCAAATGCAATAAAATATAGACAAAAAGGCAAAGGCAATATGGGCAAAGGCAAAAAAAAATATAGAATAGTTATCGCATACTTCATACCTCTCAATATCTCTAATACACAGGCAAAGTACTTGAACAAAAGGTCTTGTTATTCTACAACTGCAACAGCATACACAAAATGAAGCTAGAAGCTTTACCCACCTAGTGAGAAGAGCTGTATAGCACTAAAATTCCAAATATTACAAAAACTTGGTCCACAATAGAACCAGTTTATTTTCTCACTCATTAAAATCTCCTAGAAGCTTCAATGTATTTATACATTTGAGACAGAAATGGGAAGCCTCAAGAGTAATTTTAGAATCAAATTTGTTAAGCTGATACAAATGGATGTAAAACACTCAACTGGAAGTAATACACTGAGCTAGATCAGTGTAAGTAAAAAAAAGATTTTAAAACAATGAAGCTATCAGGCTGCACTGTGATCCTGGATTTAAAGTGCCTTCTTGTGCTACCACCTACTTCTGCTATAAGGATGAAACATTGTGTTAACCACCACAATGTGTCAATGTATGGAAATTACGAGATTTCCTAATTTTCTCCTATTAGAAAATATTGTCAAAAATAGCAGGCACTTTGAAAGCCAGCTGAACTACTGAATTCAGTTCTGCTATTTGTCTAAGTCACAACTTAAGTTTTAATACGGTAAGTTTTCAGAAAAATCAGAAAGCCAATTCTATATTCCTCCCTTTATTGAAGCAAAGGAGGCAAAATCAACCAGGGAGACCATGCTAGAAAAACACCTGCTTGCTTTTCTAAGCTTTTCCTCCTGAACACGAAAAAAGTCAACATTTCTCACCTCACAAAGTAAGTTCTGAAACTGAAAGATCTTAGGAGATTTGAGTTCTTTTTAAAGAAGCAATCTGGGACAATCTGATCCATTCTAAAAAAGAGGAACTTTTCACTTCTGAGAGATATAGCTTCACTTTGGAAAAATCATCTCTGAAAAATCTACAATAAAGGCAAAAAAAGCCACACCAAGCTAAACTAGTCATCAGTTTTAAAAGCAGTACAGGAAAGATCCTTCTAGAAAACTTTAGCAGCAGAACTGCATTCTATCTTCAGCTTACATTTTTCACACAATTTGCATCCTTCCTGTAATGAAGTATCAGTTCTGAATGATGTGCTTGAACTTTAAAAGGCACATAAATAGCTGTGACAGGTATCCATGTTTACATCGTTATCTCACTTGAGACAGTTTTGTATTAGCACATTTAAATGCATAATCACTACAAAACCGCATTTTCTTCCTCAAAATACCACCACATGCTACAACCTAATATCAGAACGTACTGACAACTGGTGCTGTTTCAAGATATCACTTTCAACTAAACAGTTCTAAAAAGTATTCTAGACTGAGACATTTTTTAATGCTGGAACAGAAGAATGTCCAAGCAATTTCATCCCTCTTCCTTTTAAGCTGCACCCAAGTGTGTTAGACACTCCAAACATTTGTTATCTCCTAATGCAAATGCCCAATTTGGCTCCTATCTAAAAAGAAAGCAAGAGTGTTTTCAGTAAAAAGCAAAAAAACTTCATCCTTTGAAAAAAATCCCTGTCACATATTTATTTATTGATTTGTTACCATTGGAAGTCTTCAGTGAATTATAAGTCCTTTAAATGTTCACATCTTCTGGGCTCTCCTTTCATTGTGCTACATTTTTCACCTAGCAGAGGCCCAGGAACGTCAAAAGTAACTAACAAAAGTCTTTACTAACACAGGTACTATGAAGTGGATGTTAAACAAGTAGTTCATTTATCTTACAAATGGCTAATTCGTTTTTCAGAAAAGCAAACCAAAACAACCCACGTGAAAAGCAAACATGAACTAGCAGGAAAATGCAGTTAAAGATGCAAATCCCATTATTACTTTACAAATGCTTTAAAAAAACCCCACATACATCCCACAAAACAAGATTAATCACAATTTTACAGTACTGGTAATTATTATAAGTGCATATATCCAAAGGTGGTGTTTGTCCATTTTTAAACTCAGCAGTATTTGTAGTGTTCATGCACTACTCCTTCCCCTTTGCATTACATCTGTGAGTTCAGAGAGGACAGCACATACCCTCCACAGTACTGCAAGCTGACATTACACAATGTAGCTCAATATAGATCTCAAATAGCAGTTAAAAGATACTACTTTTCTTTTTGACTTCTGGTTTGTAATTATTTTCACCATGTGGAAAGCTCCAACTAGCCTCTCCCACAGAGCAATAGCTACTTGGAGAACAGGCCAAAAGAGATTTTAGGACTTTTTCTCAAGGCAGCACAACACTCAGTGCCAGCACTAGTTTTCATTTCAATTAGAAGTCTCACTGACAGGAAAATCTTCAATACCTTGCCCCTGGAATTATCCCAACAACCTTTTCAAGCAGAAGTTGCAGCAGTATCCTGCTACTAAGGCCCCTGAGAAACTCAGTGATAGTCAGAAGTAATAAGATATCAAAAAACATATGAAAGTATTAATTAGGCTATCAACAGGGAGACTCATCAGATTAATTTACATTTTGATATGAATTCTGAAGACCAGACAAGCTTGACTCAGTAGTTGGAATGACTCAGAATGCCTTTCTGAGCAGCAAATTAAAATTACATTTGTTCTTTGCTGGACAACCTGGGAGCTTCATATCAGCATTCTCTCTAAAAGCACATATACTGAAAGCATTTTATCCTATGACCTTTAGTACTGGCATAATCTCAACCCTTGGGAAGATGCCTTATTTCTGGGTCTTTTCAGAAGAACTAAGGATTTGGTGCAATTTAAAAATAATGCACAAAAGGATTTCTGGATGGTAGAAAGCAGTTAACAACACACAATTAAATCCAGATCAGGATGTTCCGAACATATCTGGACATTTTAAAACAAGGGCAGTCATGGGATATGGAACCTTCTCAGTACAGGTACTGAGAAAACTTGCCCCCCCTTCCCCACCATTTTTTCATATTTTGCTTGTGGGTACATCCACTCTATAAATCCATGTCTTTATATTGTATGCATTTCAAATAACAAAAAACCTAAAACCTAAGCAACAATTTAAAAAGGATGGCTAACCTATCTAACTTTGCTCTCTTGCATTGTAATGGACAAGCTTCTGACACCAAGAGATCCACATTCAAGTGGCAATTACAGAAGGAATCCTGTCAGACACAAATATATTTTCAATTCCCTTATACATTTCTCAATTCTACATCCAAGTCCTGAAGCTCATGAGTGTGACCTACAAGCTTATCTATGATCAGTAGGTTACAAAACGGACAATTTTTTTTCCATGCCGTTGCTAAGAACAAATTTTTTGAAGGAGACTCTTTATCAATTAACTAGCATGCAAGGTCTTGGTTTCATTCTGCCAATGTTATGTCAGACATTTTGGGTGAGAGATCCAAAATACTCACTTCACTCTGTGGCTCCTGAATTACTTTGTAAAGAGATGAAATCAAAGCAGTCTTGTCTTTCAAGCTGGTAGCATAGCTGGATATGGATGCTTCTGGCAGTGTCTGAAATAAAAATATTATAAGCAATTTCTATCATTAAAATATAACAGCTATTTCAACAACAATTTTCCATTATAAGTCACTATTTATTAGAGTTTACTATATACAAAACCTTGTTTCACAAAGAAATTCTCATATTTTCAGACCATTGCCAGAAGATACACTGCACTCGATCATTTTGCAATTTCATACAGAATGTAACAACAGTGGATGGGAAATAGATAAAAAACAAGTTACAAAAATCCAACTGCCACTGAAATTTCACTGTAAGATGTCAGCCCTGTAAAACTTTTACAGTTTTCAGATCCATACTTCAAGATCTCAAGACCAATTGTACACAGGTAGTGAACACTATTACCAGATACAGTATTACTCTGGAAAAACACAAATTTCACTTGATGCAAATTCCAGCCCCTCCCCAACACTAAACATATTTTCTGCCAGTACTAAAGAAGGTAAAAATCTAATCTTTTTAACAACCCTTTAGAAGATGTACATTTAAAAGTACATAAGTCTTACTGTAATTCTTATCTCCAGTCCTTCAAAGGACTCCACTCTACAGACAGGAAATCATATTTTAAGTATCTTAGCAGAGCAGGAGTAAAACCTACAGTCATGTCTGGTACTCAAACCAATAAAATCATTCATCTATGGTACACATTTTCACTTCTCTCTGTCAGGAAGTATGTCAGCCCAAAGAGGCAAGGAAAAAAATCCTTTCAGGCAGACATTTGCGTTTATCATATGATCTCAGCAAAACCCAAAGCTACTGTCTTTCATTTTCTACAGGTTGCAAGCATTCCTGCATACTTCACCAGCAGTGATCGAAACACTTGTGGCTAAATATCGGAGAGTGTATTACCTTGAACTCTGATAACCACTCCTCCACAACCCCAGTATCCACAGCTAACATCTTCCAACATCTGCTTCAAAACCTTCAGCCTGAAAGAACAAGCAAACACAGTTTGTGAATACTCCAGTCACTGCATTAAGCAGATGATGAAAATTAAGTCTCTGTGAATATTTAAAGAATCTTACCATGCTTTTACTTGTTAACATTTTACATGCTGACATTACTTTGAACTTTTATTGTACCTCACTTATGCACGCTGCTGGAAGCATTAAACACAGGATTCTTCCCATACAGCAGTTTAATAAATTCCAACTATGTGTTGTGTGGGAAGCTCAGTAAGCCAAAGATTTTCAGAAATGGCATTCTGAAAACAGAAAATATTACCTCCTCAATTTCAATTTATTTTTCAGCTTACAAAACTCAAGAGGGAACTGTATGGACTCACTGAAAACGACTGTTTAGGTTTTTCCAAGTCAACTGCTATTCCCAGCTTGGAAAAGGTCACTGTAATAAAGGCGGATGGAAAACCTTTCAGTCCTCCCCCACCATGGCAACTGCAAGACAATGAGCCTGCTGCCTCAGCATGGAGCTAAGATAGACTGCCCAGCCCAACATTCTGCCCAGACGCAGACTGAGAGGTCACCAGCAGTAGGACTTGAACACAGCAGATGCAGAGCGGCTACTGAAATTAATGTCTGATTTCTCTTCAATTTTGAGAAATCACTTAAAAACAACTGTCCCTTGGAGCAGCTTATCCTGACACAAAAGACCGAAACATCATTAAGGCACAAAAGTACTGAAAGTTAAAAGAGCATGCTGTTAGCTTATCCAAATTGTGCCCATGGATTTCAACCAGTGACAAAATTTAATACTTATCTGAGGAAAAAATTAACACTGTCTTGGTGAAATGTTCAGTCGTAGGAGATAGCCCATCAAGTTTTACTTTATCAGTTTAAAATTAGTTTTGAAGTATTGATATATCCAAGTATGGGCTTGTCTACGAATGACAAGCAAGGAAAAGATGGGAGGTAAGAATTGCCTTTTAGAATACAAACAAATATTTTGTTCTGAAATCCAGACTATAGTAGAGCATACAGATTATATACAGTGTATTTTAAGAAGCCTAAAGGGAGAAGAACCAGATATGGCAATAGCAAGAGCTCACTATAACCCTTCACAGAAAAGGGAGTGGGGAAAGCCCAAACTTAAATAAGGCTTTAAGCAGTGGCCAAGATCTTTCAACGCACAGACAAGGTTTTGAGAGAATTACTGTTAACACATGAATGATGAAAGGAATAAAACTGACCAGGCCATCCAGCAGTTTCATCGCAAGAATCATTTTAATACACAATAATACCATAAGGCAACCAGAGCCTTCTGTGTCCCCCTCTCCTCATTGTCATGATCATTAAATAACAAACCAGGACAGGTGAAATCAAGGGGAACCAGCTGTGGCAATGTCCTCTCACAACCCCAGAAAGACACACAAGTCTGCACAAGGCTTACCAAACACTGCCTTTGGAGGATGAAAGGACAGCAGGGAAGGGCCAAGGAAGCACAAGCATTTAATTTCTGGAGACCAGACCACTGCCATGGCTGGATATGGGCACTTCAAGGATTGTGGGGACAGGAAAGATGCCCTTTATTTGGGAAAGCAGCAGGGACACACAGAGCTCGGCCTCACTGTGGATGGTGAGACAGCTGAGAGCTTATGGGTCACAGATGAAAGGGCAGAACAACATGGGTGACATTATGGCAGGTGTTTGCTGCTCACCTGAGCAAGACAAAGCACAGGAAGCCCTCTTCCTATAAAGCATTAGAAGCCTCACATTACAGGCATCTGTTCCTCAGACAGAACATGAACTACCCTCTTATTTCTTGGAGGGGAAACAGAAGAGGGAACAAGTGCATTGATATAACTTCTGAAACAGGGGGCTGAGGAGCCAAAGGTAGGCTCTGCTAAACATCTTCGTTACAAACATGGAAAAACTGGCTAGTGACATCAATGTCAGGGCAGACACAGCTGCAGTGACCATGACAAAGTAGATACAGGATCCCAGTAAGAAAGATCAAAGCAAGAAGGAGGATCAAGAATGTTCTAGAATGGTTCATGGGCTTTTGCAAAAGTAGTAGCAGCAGCAACAGAAAAACCAGGGCTCCATGACTGAATTAGAAGGGATCTGCTGAGAGAAGATACAGAAAAGGCCACGGTACTCACTGCCACCTTTGCTTTTGCTGTTACCAGCAAGAGCAGCCCCCAGGAACCCTGGATCTCAAAGCACAAAATACTGCCTCAAGTGCCAGAGTGGCTGAGGAGTCTCCATGCACAGAGACATTGAAAACCCAGTCTGGTAAGACCTTGAGCAGCTGGACACCTGCTTCAATTTTCACTACTTTGTGCAAAGAAGGTTGGACTTCATGATCACCAAAGATCCATTTAAACCTCATCCATTCTGTCATGCTGTATCAAGGAAGAAATGGGAAGGATTGCCATGAAGAATATTAATTTAGCTAAATATCAAGTCTTTCTGATTAGCACTGACAGCCTCTGAAGGTGTAACAATGAAAATACAGAGGAGCAGCCCCTGAATGCTCAGCACAGGTTGTGTGTGAGACCCTGCTGGGAAGTGAGGCTTTTAAGGATAATACCATGTGCTAACAAATACAAAGACTAGTCCTACTACAGCTACTGAAGCAACCACCTTGCCAGTTCCTACAGAATACTAGCCCTGCTTTCATTCCTACAAAGGTGGACAAAATAGCATCTCGTGCTTCAGCACAGCTGACAATAGTAACCATTCCCTACTGACCCCCATTAACAGCACAAATACCTGTTCTAATATTGATTGCTCAAAACAAAAATCGTATTATTTAGAAGAGCCAAGAGGAGTCCTGGATACACCAAGTCCACAGTGGATGCCACATTTATACAAGAGATTAATTTTTTTCTTACCCTTCTCTAGTGATCCATCAAGCATTATTTTCAGATTAAAGGCTCCCAGAGAATAGAGGTTTCATTTGACCAGTAAAAACAGCAAGAGTATATTTGGCTGGCATTAGCCACTGGAATAATACTTCAAGTTTTTATGACTAATTTTATGACTAAGTATTTAAAGATGACTCTGGTTTTTTTGCAAAAGCATGAACTTTTGAAATGACATTTATAAAAAAGAAATAGGACAAAATTTTTGCTGATCAGATCTTTTATATTTATTTTTAAAGTAGCAGAGGCATTCCACTGAGAGTCAAGGCAGTAAAAACATACAAGGGAAAGACTGTCCTTATTTTACCTTCATGCTTTAAAAAATCCATATATATCTGCTTAAACCACAGCAATACACATTTTAGTATCATAAATAAGAACTCAACTTTACAATTGTTTCCCATGAAGACAAGGATTATGTGTTCAATTGACGTTCCCCAGAAGGAAAAAAAAAAAAAAGCTTTAATTCCACATATCAGCTGTGTGGGATCTATCTAAACATGCAGACAACCTACTGCATTACTGAGGATTGCCTCATTTGTCCTAGTTAAATAACAGATCAAGCTGGACTGGCACAATATTTCGACAGAGTTGGAAAATCCAAGACTGTTCCAAAATAAGGATTAACAAGTTTCAGTTAGTTAGCAACACAATTTTTTCCTGAAGCCCACAAAATGTTTTTAAAAAAGTAACTCCAGAATGGGATTTTTAGCACTATGTGCACCAAAATAAGGTTTAATTTCCAGCATCTGTTAACCTTTTACAGAGAAAAAAAAAAGGATCCTGAGGATTAAAAAAGCATGCCTTAATTACAGCTTTGTTTCAGTGGATATAACTGCAAGATATAGGCCACTGTAAGAATGAGATGTCCCAGTCGCTACAGAATTAAAGCAACATCAAGTGGATAAAATAAATACCTGCTACTTTGAGGATTAAAAAAAAAAAAAAAAAGAAAAAAAACCAGTAAAATTGCATTAAGAATGTACTTTATAAATACCAAAACTGCAATGGAAATTCAAATAACACAGCAAATACTACACAGCACTTTTCCCAAAAAAACCTTGTTTTAAGGTATATTAGCAAGTAATTCCCTTTGAATGAATGTTTTTTCTTGACCTCTTCCTACTAAGCCCCTGCAAAGATTTCAAACGAGTGGAGTTTGAGAATTTATTTAAAAACAATTTTTGCCACCACAAATCAAATAATACTTTGATTAAATGTGAAGAGCGGCTTCAAATGTCCCCATGCTCCTTGTTCATTTGGATGTCTTGATGAAGATTGTTACAGGAAAGAGAAATCTCAATTATTTAAACACCACAAAACTACTTGTGATGCACTCAGTGACAGCCAGGTGGTTCAGCACTGTTGAATTTTTATTAGACACATATATATTCTTAGTTTATCTTACAAATGAAGTAAAGCCACTTCAGGTGACACTCTTGTATTTATTGCAGGTCTTCACATTTGCCACATGAAAGCAGGAATAGCTTATGCAGTCTAGCTAACACATGGCTAATTGTCTACATTCATAGGGCTAATATAACCTGTATTCTTGTGCCTTGTGAGTTAAAAACACTTTGGAGTATTTTCCACAAGACTCTCAGCTTGGATTAGCAGCCAAAAGATAGGGTTTTTAATAAATAACAATTAACAAGTTCCCAAGTCCTAACCAGCCTCTGACAGCTGTTAATTGGTCTTGCTCTATTCTAATACAATAATGTAAGTCTCCTTTCTTTGGAGATACCAATTTTTGTTTTGTTTCAAGGTGAGTAGTACAACTTGAACAAGATACCAAGGAAATTGATCTGACAAAAGCAAGTCTCATTTACTTCTACAAAGTCCCTAAAAAGCTAATTTCCCCCTCACCCTTTACAGCACAAATACATCAGGAACTTACTGAATTTCCTGTTTTTAATAGAGGAGGGAAAAAAAGCTACTAGTTACCGAGTTGGTGGAGGGCCAGCCAAGACAAATTAAGACATGTTCTCTGGCAAACTAACTAATGCATCCATAAATGGCTTCGGATTTTCATACCTGTCACACAAGACTTTAACATAATAACATCAAATTATCTCTTTGAACGAAATCACAGACAACACATGCACA